TTTCATAAATTAAAATAAAATCCGCCGGGGGGGGGTAAGTGTGGAGGGACATGTTAATAGAAACAAGAGTGTAGGACCACTTTCTTAAAAGGGGGGAAAATACACAAATGGGTATTACCAATTTTAAACACAGATCTGTAGACTGGGACTTGGGATAAATATTGTATGTATGCTTAACCCAGAAGCTCCGAGTATTTATATGGATGCATGTCAATTGAGATTAAGTGAACAGGAGGTTATGAGGGAAAAATCAAATACAAGTATGGAAAAAAACCCTCTCCTTTTCGACTATCAAAGGGCTGATCACGTGTTCGCAGATGGTAGTTATCAGGGCTCTTATTCAGTGAAGCTATAGTAGATACATTTTGATGCTTTACAAAAGAAGCAAAAATATATAAAAAGGGTGCAGGGTAGGGAGGGATGAGGAGGGAAAGGCAGTTGATAGTATAATATGAAGTCCCTGCTGTCTGTTACACCTATCTGAAACCTTTAAAACCCAAATGAAATTATTCATATTTATTCATGTTAACAGATCCTTCTGAAATGCAGAAATTGTGTTTTGATGCTTACCATAAAGAAGGCAAGAAAAACTAGATGGTAGAAGTTCAAGTGTTAAAGCTTCATTTTATTAAATTAATACACACATTCTAAAGCAGTACTGCATGCACATTTTGTATATTTTACAAATCATTTTGCACAGCTGAAAATTAATTGATTATGGTTTGCTTGGATGATTGCTGAAGAAAACTTTTGTGGCACAACTGAGAACTTAAACTGAAACAGGTATAGTTAAGCGAACAAGAGCTACAGGTCTTTCACATGGCATGGATATAATTCCTATTTTATACATCTATTAAATATGCATAACAACAGTATTTTGGAAGATGGAAAACAACAGAAATACTGAACACCTAAAAGCTAACCTTGATAGATGGGAGTGGCAGGTGTTCCAGAGTAGAGAATTAGTCCACAATACATGCAACTGATCAGTGAGTACCGACAGAGTTAGTGGTTAGGTGCCCAGCAAAACTACTAGATCCTGATTACTAGCTCTATGTTATGAACCAAGATTTCACTCTATTTTTGAGCAAAGAATGGGTAAAGTATAAACTGCTGTCCTGTAACTTCCTTACTGAGTCTCTTCCATTCAGTTAATAAGAATACATTCGTGAAACATCTGTGAGAGTATGGCGTAACAAAAACAGTTTGAGGCAGTACAAAAACTTTGTGTCATAATTAAAGACAATTTAAACACTAAATAGTGATTTGAGAGGGAATTTAAATTTTCTTTGGTCAGCTTTTGCTGGACTCTATCATGGACATTACTCCTTACCATATTTTTCTGCTGTCTGTGATAATCTAAACAATTTAAATAATCAGTTCTACTAAACAACAATTTTTTTAAAAAAAATACATGCCATCCAAGATAATGTCATATGCTGTAATGCCATTACATTGTGTGCTGTCTTCCACACAGTGGTTGGGGTAGAAAACTCCTGGTTTTGCCATATATATATACTGACAGTCTTGTTCTAAATAGTTAACTGTGCATTGTGTTATTTAAACTCTTACATTGATTTAGATGCACAGAAAGACAAATCATCTTGGTCTAATATTTCCACATTTATAAGTAACAAATTATCCACATGGCAGAATCTATTTTCAATCATTTTTTTCCTGTTTTGTTGTATGTTTTATATGTGGATCCAAAAGTAGGATGGCAGAACAGTAGTAAGCATATGTTTTAAAATACAGTCACCTAAAACACTGTAGTAGCAAGTAATTTATAACAAAAATTCAAGAGATGCTATTAGTGGAACAGATTTAATGAATACTTAAAATGCAAGCTCAAATCTATCCTGTGAAGCAATCACATTTTTTACAACTGTTTTGACCTTAGTGACACAAAATTAATTCTGCAAATCTAATATCAAAATAAGTTTCTACATCTAATGCAGTAGCATTTATTCATCTATTTATTCAAAACATGTTATGTAGGCATTTACATATTGCTTCTTAACAATCATTTTACTAGATCTGAAAATAAATCTAACAGATTAGATACACAAAAAGTGTTTAGAAAACTAAAGCATGATATTTATTTATTTATTTATTTTTGCTGTTTATCTGGTTACAGCAATACATAAGCAGACAACATCTGAGCGGGTAGGATTTTCTCAAATATTCTAAATTTTATGCATGTGACATCACTTTTACTATATTTATAAAATAACAAATATCTGTGCTGATATACAAAGTTGCGTATACACCAGCCATATGTTTTTAAAGCTGTTTTGATGGCTTGTGACTTTATCCAACCCACTTATCACTGGTATATATTACAGTATATTATAGAATATTGTCAATGTCTCTCAATACATGGTTGAGAATTAACTACCATATTTAAGTTAAACTTTCCAAACATACACAAGGATCCCAGTGATGTTATCTATCAAGCCCAAAGCACAAATGTCAAACTAAAAAACAGTGACAACATTTTATAAACACACAATACCTTCCAAGAAAAAGATTAGCTTGCCTAACCATTTGGGATCAAATACATAATTATTAAACCTACTGTGACTTAACCTTAGTGTTATCAATTTGCAAACTTTACTCTTACATCTAATTGTACCAAAGTATTAGCATTACCTCCAGCAAATGGCTTACAGTGGAAT